TTTATACAGTCTGAGGTGCAAAATGGTTTAAATTGTGATGACAGGTTTGTTTGTTTTTTTTAAGTTTGATTATTTCTTTGTTTCTTTGACAGCTGTTGTTGTGAAATCAAAAAAAAAAATCTGATTATGACAAGGGAAGTTTGAACACTTAGACTCTTTATTGCTCATCTGGGTTTTCTCCTTCAGTCACAGCTGCTAATGGGGACAGAACTGTAATCCTGTAAAGTTGTACAACAGCTTCAGTGCACTCTAGTAATGGCTGCTATTCCTGCTAGCTATGAAATCAAAATATTGTTTTTAACTAAACAAAACTAGCATGACAAGTCATCTGGTAACAGTCAAAGCAAGGTTTTTCCCAACTGTTTGGGAGATTTACTTATTTCCACAGTGGTGGAAAAAGTGGTGGGTTGTTGGGATTAAATCAGGGTCACTGAGTAGTTTCTAAACCTGCATGATTGGCACTTTAGTCATGTGATCCTACACTGCCATCATGGTTGTCACATGTTCAAAATGGCTACCAAAATAAATCACATGGTTAGCGGTCACACATTTCAGTTTGCTTGTCTTCTGTCTTTTTGTAGCTTTTTAGCATCAAGCTGCTGAAATAGTTTCAGCACTTTGACAAATCATAGCTGAATCATCATCTATGATTCAGCTTCCCCCGCCTGGTATTCATCCATTTTCAAACGCCCTCGCCCCAGCTCAATTTTCTGTTGGTAGTGGCCAACATTGTCTCAGCAGGGGTCATTTTTGGCTATAAATAGCCTTTTCTATCCACGTCTTTAATGTTTGCTTTATATGTTTCTTCACAGGTTCCAGCCTCAGGACATGGAGGTTCAGTTGAGCGACGAGCTAGCCGGCTCCCTGCGACAACTCAAGGTACTTCAGAAGCACTTTGACCTCCGTGAGCAAGGACACAGTTTATCTGTAATGGGTTTTGGCTAATTTGGCTGCTGTATTATCTTCAGCACTTCTCCACTATTCAAAGCTTTATCCCATTCTCTCATACTGTGCTGACTCGCTTTCCCCACAGGGATCATTAGTTTCATTTGATGTAATTGCTGGTGGAAAATTCCCAGTCCTTCCCTCTTATCTCCCCCAATTATGTCTTTGAATAATACTTAAATCGGTCTTTGTGATGAGAATAGGATTTTATGATGCACGTGGGAATTGCATATCCAGTGAGAGCAGCGTGACATTTGTGTCACATGGCTTTGTTTTGACTATTTCTTTGTGTAATGTTGCGACTCCACAGCCAGAGGGCAGCGTGCTCATGGACCGCTTCAAGAGTCTGCAGAAGAGAAACCTTATTGAACCCAGAGAAAGAGCCAAGTAAGGACCTCTGCTTCGCTCTTACATAACATCTCATCAAAGGCCCAGAGTGATGTGTGAATTCATAAGGTGTGTAGTGAATAACATGAGTTTCCACCCTCTCCCTCCTAGGTTCAAGAGAAGACTCAAGGTGAAGTATGTGGAGAAGAGGGCTTTCAAGGAGATTAGTTGATGCCGACATACACATCACGGGACTGAACGCAAGAAGCTGGGAGACTTTTAAACCACCAGTGCAGAATAATGGAACTGTGTATATACGACATAATGACTGCTGAGGGCCTGCTGGGCCCTTTCAGACTGATGTCACCTGCAGCAGTGATATATAAACTCTGACCAAGAGTGCTGGATATGAGTTTTAATTGTTTCCTGTAGTGCATCTGCCATGCAGTGTTTCTATAATTTCTTTCAGTTAAATACAGATTACTGTATCATTGTGTGTTTGTGTTACATAATGTCATGCCTATCAGGGCACGATCAAAGGGTTTGTAGTAAATGGCCGAGTCCAGCTGTCAGTGTGTCACTACGCTGCTCATACAAGAGTACACTAGGTTAATGAAGGGTTAAACCCTGCAGTGGTAATGGCAATATGTCAGCTCATTGCTTAAGATTATGCCATATTCACACACCTAAACATTTTTCTGTGCTTGTTTGTTTTTATATATTGATTACACAAGTCCATCATAGAAGCTGCTCAAATGAGATTGCATCATTTAGTCTGTTTTCACAAATAGTTAATACACTCTGCTTTAGATGCTAGGATGCCCACATTATATAACAATTTGCAGCATACAAAGTTAAGGGTACACAATAGAAACAAAGTATGTCTTTTTAAAATCCTCAGTTACATTAGTTGATTAAGCTGAGCTTAACTGAAGTAGATTAATGCATTTCTCTTTTTTTTTTAATACTGGGTTTAAAAAACAAACAAACAGATGGGCTTGAGGAAGTTGGCATGTGATAATTGATTCCATCCCGCTGGCTTAAAACCATAATTGCCTTCGGTGTCCCACTGGCGTGAACAAGGACCTGCACGCACACACACAGACACCCACGCCCCGTCCCCTAAGCCCCATGGTCCCTGGAGTTGCTCCAAAGCTTCTTATCTGTTAATCAGTGTGAAATTGTAGTCTTTACCTTCAGTGTCCACAAAAGGGCTCCCAACCACATGCATGCTAGTCGGTTGAGCTGTCCCTCCTCCCTCTCAAGACAAACTGAGCACCTGACCCTGGGCTATGCTCGTTTGAGCACTTATTAGTGGTGATGACGCCAAATTACCTGCTGATGAATTAACCTGCTGACTCATAAAGCCACAGCTCGTCTCCAACCCCTCGTTCTATATTTAAAGTTTTTACGAGATACTGGGCCAGAAATAATTTTATCAAATAATTTGTTGTACAGATATTTTTGTGGATGTTGCTGGTTTTTTTTTTTTTTTTTTTAAGTATTTGGTGGGTTGTATCAAAAAAATTGAGGCATTTTGACATGTAACACCAAATCTGTAGGACTTCATGGGAGGTGACGGGTCTGGAGAACTGAGATTTGATAAATCAGGCCTATGGTGAGGCCTGCAGCTCTACAACACTATCACCAACTGCACATAAACATACCGTGGCTAATCAACATAAAAAGATTTTTTTCCTTTAATTTGTCACCAAGCTGTTTCCAAACTAATTTCATTGTTTTAGTCAAAACAAAAGCGCGCACATCACCATATAAGGATATTAGTGTTTTCTCCTGCACTCATGCCAGTGACCGACTGCAGCCAAGTTGTTTGCTCCCCTCCCGTTTGCCCTCCTCGCTTCACGTGTGAGACATGGTGCTGCCAGATTGTGTTGGCATGAGGAGTAGGAGGGATTACGTGTGTGCGCAGTCACTCATTACCTCCTTCAGAATAGATTACTACTCCTCTGGTCTGCAGAGCCAGCGAGTAACAGTGGAAGCCTCTAAAACACTCAGCTGCACTGCATGGAGATGCCACAGTGTGTGTATATGTGTGTGTGAGTCAACGTTGTCAAGTGATCTCAGGCTTGTTTGCTGCAAAGTGACAGGCATTTTTCCCCTCCCTCTCTCGTGCTCTTTTTTTTCTTTCTTATTTTTTTTTGGGGGGGGCGGCCCAGTATCCTCCTGCCTGTCTCACCTTGTCCTCCTTGCGTACACGCAGCACACGCAGAGGCACGTGGACGCACTGAGCTCTGTGATGCAGGATACAGGCATATAAAGATCCCAGAATGACCCCAAAACAAGATACACTTCAGACAAGGAGCAGTGCTGAAAAACCATATACATTTGTTGTGTTTAGAATGTACAATCTGTGTGTCAGAGCACCTGTCAAATCAACACAGAAGCTCTCCTAACTCACACAAAATATATGGACTGAAGTCGACATCTATCAATCTTTGAATCCAGGTGTTTTCAGTCCCAGTACTCACTTATTCTGAAGGGGAAACTAGCCATAGAAACCTATTGCTTTTTGTACCATACTGTAAATATACCTTTTAATCAAGTTTATTTGATTAAAAGGTATATTTTAATCAAATAAAATATTGATTCAAAGGTGCAGCTACACAGTGCTGCACCTTTTCAGCACTGTCTCTGAAACTACAGGAAATGTGTACTGAGGAGCTGAAAGTCAAATATTTTAATATTAAACAGTAAAAAATAAAGTCAAATATTTTCAAGTTTTTGTTTTTAATGTCATTGCAAAGTAAATATGGGATTGTTCGAACAAAATAGCCAAAGGAGGACCCTATCCTTTGTGCTAGATTCGGGATTCATATTTTTTCTGTAATACTGAGTAGGGATGCCCTGAATGTGAAATATCAACACTCGTTTGTTTTGATTTTGTTCTTTTCTGGCTTTCTATCATCTTTAAAAGTGCTTAAACACACAATTTTTCCACATTAAGCCTGTGGAAAATGGATGTAATAAAAATATCAGAAGGTACAAGATGTGACATCTTATTTGCAAATACTGACATTCAGCCAATATACCCATCGGTTCCTCATTATTGACTAATATTTATATCACATTAATATTTATATTACCACTGCAAAATATATCTAATGTATATCCCTTATAGACTATTGTCCAGGTAGTATTTAAAAGCCTTACTAGCAGCATATTACATAATATCTGAATTATTATTTATCACCGTAGATCATGAAACAGACTACTACAGTGCCTCTTTGCAACATCTGCTCTGTGACATTTAATGATGATTGATGCATTTGTTAACAAACAAAAAAAAGAGCAACAACGGGAAGAATCACTGATAATGAAAACACCTAGATGTTTGGTCATGCGTGATTTTCTCGCATAATTACTGATGGTGTGTTTGAGTGAGTATCTCACACACACAAACACACACATGGAGCGCTTCCATCGTGTTCTCGCTCTGTCACACACTTCCCCTGTGTCGCCTCAGTATCCTTGCATAGCCTCGGCGTGACACTGCCTCTAATGTCTCCGTCTACAGTGTACAGTAGGTATCACTGCACAGACGCGAGAACACAATGGATGGCAAAAATGTAAATGCAGGAGAAAATCGTGTGTGGCGGAAGAGTGAAAAACTGTTTGTATGGTATGATGGGGAGGTGGAGGGATGGGGGGGGGATAAACACGGTGATGGAGAGTGAGTGAGAGGGAGCCAGAGGGGGGAGGAGCAGAGAGATGATTCCTCGCTCTAATCCTCTAGACACACGCTCGGTCTGGCTGCCTACTGGCTCAGAGAGACAGAGGGAGAGAGACGGAGGCAGGTGGAGGGCGCACACAGAGAGAAACCAAGTGGGAAGGAAAAAAACAAGATGAAGGGAAGAAAGGAAAGGAGCGCTGCCTCTCGTAAAGCACGCTGACAGAAACAAACAGAGAGAGAGAGAGGCAGGGAGGAACTGGATAACCCAGCGACTCCGGCACGGTTTCTAGCAGAGGGAAGGAGGAGGAAGAGTGCGATGCTACAGTGCTGCTCTGCCTGAACCAAAGCAGGAGGGAAGGAAGGAGCAACAGAGAGGAGGAGGAGAAGGAATCCCTCGAAAAACAGCCTGAAGAGTGGACAGAGAAAGAGGATGGAGGAGAGGAGAACACGCAGAAACCCCTGGCTGCTCAGGCTCACATGAGTGTATGGACCTCTGCCCGTTACTACAAGATGCTGTCAAAGAACGAGCGTACGAGGGCGGAGTGTTAGTGTGCGAGCGATGGATGTCTGTTTGCACAAACTACGGCCGCTCCGCAAAAGTCAGCAGAAGTAGACGAGAGGCTCGGGTCTCTGTCAGAGCAGGTGTGTGCGAGTGTTGGTGTGAGAACATAGGACACACCAGCTGTTTTAGGAGGTAAACAGAGCCGGGGTAGCCCAGAGGAGAGGAGAAGGAAGACACGTTCACGTGAAGAAGTGCATGGAAGGCGAATCGCACACGCGGAGTCAGGAGTCACAGTTAGTGGTGTGAGGAGAGCGTGGCGGACAGCACATTTAATAGAAGACACGGAGTTTACAATGAGGTGTCACTGAGCTTCTCCGGGGTTCCTGACTTCTCTATACCAAAACAGCCACCTGAAGCCACTCCCTACCTCAACTCAACCTAACAAGTGGACTTGAACACTGAGAGACAAGGACTTGAACCCCAGCTGTCTGGGAAGCCCACCTGAAGTGAGTCAGTCCTGACTTTCTGTGCCCAGTGGATGCCTCCTGACTCCAACCATGGGAGAATGGACCATCCTAGAGCGCCTCCTGGAGGCCGCTGTGCAGCAGCACTCTACTATGATTGGAAGGTGAGCTGTTGAAGACGTGAATGCTATCTTTTAATTGAAATTATGTGCATGTGTCCTTATCTATATGTGTTTCTACAGTATAGTAAGTGTGTGCATGCTGACTGTGAGTCCCTCTGTGCTCACATTCAGGTCCAGTGTGACAGGCTGCAGGTTGTGGGGGGTAGGTGGGTTAGTTTCTTTAATCTGTCTGGGTGATACGATGGGAGGGTTATGCAGCCATAAGGGCTACTATTAGTCCACACAGAGGACTAAAACATCTACAATTCTGTCATTCCCAGTTTTTGCCATGTGCTTCTCCACGCTGATGCCTCCCTCCTTGCCGTAACATCAAGTTGGTTTCAGAAGCCAGCACGCTACACAAGCGTGACTCAGTTGACAATTTACCACAGTTTTCTTCACCTCTTGTCTTTTTCTGTCAAGTATGAGGTCATCTTCTTTATCTTTACTCCCCCCCCAAAAGAAAAAAATCCACGAGCCACAGCCGATCACAGCAGTTATGATTTATGCATTCTCTAACATGCCGAGATGTGTTGCATCTTAGTTGGAGTAACTCGTTCTCAGGGCCGCAGGACGAGCAATTATTCATGAGCATTTTAGCACATCGGCTCTGTAAACATTATTAGAAACGTCTTAACATCAAGTAAAGGACGTATTCCTGAGTATGAAGGCTTTCTCAGGATATGTGTGAAACCGCAAGTTCAACTTAAGTTCATGAGAAACCATCTGAATTTGCAGTTTAAACCAATTCCCTCCAGCTACTGACTCACCCTTGCTAGTGGTACTCTTGAATTATTGAGCGAATGAATGTTGGGCAGTTTATAAAGTAAACGATGCGTGGAGTTTGTTTTTTTCCTGGATGAGTCTTCTTCTGCTTACAAAACTCTGAGTGTGAAGTTTGTCGTGTTGACTTGAAGCTTGATTTTGAGAGTCAGACTGGTCAGAGTCGTTTCCTTTGGTGTTATGATACATGGTTTGTCAGCATTTGCTTTCCCTCATTCACGAGACCCTGGGAGCACACTGTCCCTCATCATCTAGGCTAGTCATAATGGGTGTGGGGTCTCAGCAAAGAGCGGGAAGGAGAAAAGACAGAAAGAGAGGGTAGCTAAGGAGAAACTCAAAAAGAACAATGACATCTACGGAGGCAGTGAAGGGAAAGGGTAAACATTAAACAAATCAAAAAGCAGAGCAAGAGAACTTGGTTCCAAAGTAGAACGGGGATGAGGAGAACCGACAAGCGGAGTGTGAGATGTGGGAGACACGAAGCAGATGACGGAGAAAGAGTAAAAAGACCGAGTGAAGGCGAAGGCAGCGGGGAGCGCTTATTCACAGACAAGCGAGCAGACACATGGCTTCAGTCTGCAGGGCATTGGTAGGAAGCCAAGAGGAGTCTCGTCACGAGATGGTGCTGCATGTCATGACCTAAGCAGAGCAAGCAGGACACCCAGAGGCTCAGATCATATTTGCACAGATTATATCTATTGTACAGACAGCTGAAATGTTCAGAACACAGGAGGAGCCTATTAGAAGTTTAAAAAAATATCCAAACATTCACATGGGCTTACCAGCAGCCCTTTCCTGCTTAAGTTGCATCTGCTCTGGCTCAATGAGTACCCTCACTCTAGATACTCATATGGCAATATTTGTAGCAAGTCTGCAAATTATAGCACCTGAAAAGTTCCCACATATCTACAGACAACAAAAGTTCATACATAATCTTTCTGATAAAACTGAGGTGGTACTTTTTTAAATAAAGAAGTTTTTATCATGAATACACCACCATCACTATACAAGCTAAGGGGTCATTCTCCTTGTTGTGGTGTGCCTGGTTTCACTGCCAACACGCCACTAATGAAAGTTTTGGGCGAGACTCCTTATGTGTGATTTAGACTTCTGCAGGAAATGTACACTGTGAATTAATAATGTAACTGGAAACCCCTTTTAAACACTTTAACACAATAACTTCCCATTAGCACAGGGTGTCCAACTCCAGGCCTCAAGAACCGGTGTCCTGCAGGTTTTAGACGTATCCTTGATCCAACACAGCTGATTTAAATGGCCAAATTACCTCCTCAACATGTCTTGAAGTTCTCCAGAGGCCTGGTAATGAACTAATCATTTGATTCAGCTGTGTTGACCCAGGGTGATATCTAAAACCTGCAGGACATCAACCCTTGAGGCCTGGAGTTGCCCACCCCTGCATTAGCACTAGTTTTTTAATATGTAGAGTTCATGCTGCGGCAGGACCTAATTGCGATCTTTTCCTAAACCCAACCCTTTTGGTGCTTGAAGCTAACAAAAGCAAAAGTTAACAGTAAGTAAAAAGAGGGTTCCCACTCAAAATACGAACTCCAGTCTTCTGATAGACATCATTGCCAATGCCTAAAGTGGGGATTATCTTTTCCCTCTCTGCGAGTTTGCTAGCGTCTGCTTGGGTCCCAGTGATGTCAATGTCATCATGAGACAGTTAGCGAGAGGGTTCATGCAAGAGTCTGCATGCCTGCCTGTTTTCTGTGGCCGTGTGGACTTGTCTGTGAAGAATTTACATTACAATGCACCGACTATGAATGCGGCCAGGCAGCGGACTTTAAAGCAGTTTAATAGGAACGACTACTCGCCTGTTGGGTCTCCAGCTGTCCGCAACCAAGTATAACTAAGGCTTTAAATGCACCTTCCTGTTCTTTCAATCAGGAGCATTTTTTGTTGGTGTCTAACGTTGCAGCAGTTATTACATAATGGCACTGACATCAAAGAACACCTTGCGCATTTGTGCAAGACCCCAGCAACTTTGACAGAACGGCAGTATTTGATGCCCTATGATTGAGCACAGGTTAGAAGTGGGTTAAAGGCTGCTGTTATATCAGCATTTGAATTCCAATTCCAAGACACAGAGCCATGTCCCAACAGACATTTTTGCAAAGACAGATATCGCTATCCGGTGGAGAGAAAGCGGGTTTCAGGCACTTCCACGCTTATAATTTGGAAGCAATGTCCATTTTTTATACCGTCTATGATGGCATCAACGTGAATATAAAGAGGCAATTTAAAGTTTCAACCCCACACCGAAAACACTGGGTGACATCAGTCTGTGTTTACTGTAGAAGTGTTTTTGGAACTACTTTGTCCTCCACTCCCACATTGTTTGACATACTGACAGACTGTGTAATGACCAGCTCATTGATAAACAGCTTTGCCTTTCTCAGGCAGTCTTGCCAACCGACCGCTTATTTTCGTTGCTTCTGGTGGGAGTGACTCGGATATTTATTCACTCATCATGAGATACACAGTCTGTTTATTGGAAATCTCAAACACATTGCTGTTTATCTCAGTCATGCTGGAGGACATTTTAGCAACTTGTCCAATTAAAAAATGGATGAACATGGGGATTATGTCTGTTGTTTACTACGGTGAATGGACCAGCAGTGTAATGAGGTGGGTGCTTTGAAATATGTAGTCAAACTTCAGGCGGGCATTTGTAAGCAAGTTCGGGTTGGCGCTGTGGAAGTTAAAAAACCGTGTGACTGCTCTTAAGTGTCAGTCTGACTTGCTGGCTGGGGCTGCTACTCGGAGCGCTGAGGGACCAGGGGACCGCTTCTCACTTTATCCTGGGGGAATCATTCTGAAGAGCTGCAGGAGAGTCAAGGCAAAGGTGGCCTGACTGGAAGGCAGGGAGCTGGAGGCTTGGCTGGTTCGAGGATCTGGGTGAGTGATGAGTCAGTGTGTTATCTAGAGATTTTAGTGTGTGATCAAGATCTGGCTCTGATGACAGCCACTTAACATGGACACTACTACTATGAAGGATCCAGCTGAGTCAGAGCTCTTCACGTGTTCTCCACAATAGAGTAAAGTTGTGAAGAAGGGGAGGATTTCCGGTAGCCGGAGGTTATTTCAGGTTCGGCAATGGATGTTGCAACCATTGGACGCAACAAGAGACCTGGAACTGTATCTATCATTGGTACTGCAGCTGTGAGTACTATCAAAACTGTAAAGACTAAATTAGTTATTATGTTCGACACTAAATTTGCCACAGATGTAGATGCAGAAATGCATTCTCTGTATCTTAAAGAGAAACTTAATAGAGATGTCACCCACCAGAAAACTGTCAATATATGCAACAAGCCCAGTTCTTTCAAGGTTACTGCTGAATGTAATGACATAGTGAAATGGTCAAAAAGTGCATCCAGCAGGGGAGATAATTGCATCTCCTGGTGTTAACATATTAGCATTATGATGTCTCTTCAGGTGTTGTCTTACAACTGTGGTGGCCTGCGTTTGGAACAGGGGATAAAGCTCGACATATCGTTGTGGACAGTTTGCTTGCAGAATGGGACATTTTATGTTTGCGAGAGACATGGTTACCTAAAAAAGACTTGGAAAAACTTAACTACCTTTCCAAAATTTGATGTCAGCACAGCTATAGTCAGAGAAAGAATAGCGGGGGGTGTGAATGTGCTTTGTGGCAAGGAAAAATGATGCTGTGATAAAGTCAGTTAGACTGGATGATCAGCTGGTGTATTGGTATACAATATACGCAGAAAAACAATAGTTTTGTTATCCTAAATGTTTATACTCCCTATAATCTTTCAGCCATGGATGAAAGACCTAAGCAAGGTCCAGAGTTTGAACAGAAGAAACTTGCGAATTCCAGATATAAGTATGCTATTCGCTTTATATTTAAAATGAGAAAGTTATGACTCTATGGCCAGGACAATGGTGAGTAATAAAGTCACAGATTTTTGGAAAGAAACCATCAGCCACCAGGCAAACCATCTCTACCGTGTGTGGTTAAAGATGTTTCTGGGGCAGATAATATTGCAGCATTATGGAGACAACATTACATTACTGCATTATGGATCACATTACTGCAGAACATCTAAAAAATGCTCGTTTAAGCTCTTTTAGCACTCTGTTTCCCTGGTTTTATGATCCATACCAGACCCAATGTTGTGTATTTTGCTTTTCCCAGTTATTAAGGACAAAGCTGGACTAGTGAGCTGTCTGGA